TGGATTTAAGGTTGCAATTTCATTGCCTCAAGTTAGGGTCATGGTTTAAGTTCTGATTTGAGTTTTAAAATTAAAATTAAGAAATGCCTAAGAAAGGAGGACTGGTGAAAGAGTTCTGTAAGAGTGAGAAAAGAAATGGCAAATACACGAAATCTTAGTGTTCGTAAATATTTATGTGCCTGTCTGTGCTTTATTTTTGAATAAAGTAAATTGATTTATTAAACATTTATAGTGCGGTTGTGTAAAACTTAATTGCAGCTCTGTCAAATAAATCCGTTTGAACCTCCTTCTGTCGTCATTTGACAGCTTACCTGTTGCTTTAAATTGCTGTTGCTTTAGACTTAGAATACTATACCCACATATGTTTCGTACCTGAAGCTCAGAGCATCATGCTGAAGGCTATGACCTATAATCAAGATCGCTCCTCAGTGGCTATTGGTAAGTATGTGGGCTTAAAACGCAAAAAAATCTGGTTTCCATACCTGTGGCGACCATAGCACAAATAACCCATTGTGTACCTTTGCATCTAACTACAAACAAAATAATCTAGATCAAAATGATGTCCATACCTGCTGTACAAAGACAGAACTCTTATCAAGTATGGTGCTAAACAATTATCCTCTGTTTAAAATTAAAGTTTACAATCTCTTCACATATACATGTTCATTTTAGTCACATAATTTCGTTTTTATATCTAACACAAGTCATTATATTTTACCTAATTTTATAAACATATTTTTATTAATTCGCATGGTTATATAGGATTTCTTCACGCTACAAACGCTACATTGTAAACCAAGTTATTCTAACTCTACACATCTAATCATCCATTTGAGTAATAGTGACGTAATGTGCCTTGAATTACTGAGTAATAAGCCAAGATGTTTTTCGGTTAATTTGGACATATATATTCTTAAGTCACAGATCCTCTGCACTTTTAATCCTCAAACACTGAGGACAAGGTGTCAAAGATGGCTTGAATATTTGCGTGTGTTCTAAGGAAGTGCATTAGCATAAACACAGCCCTATCAGTAATTTTATGCTGTCGATAATATACCTAATCTTTTAATTTCCAATGCATTTCTCATACACGTTTTGTTTCTAGGTCTGCAGTAAGCTTCAGGAGTTGTAAAGCTAAATATTATGTTTTGATCCCTGCAGTGGGTATAGTACAGATAGCCCATTGTGCAACTTTGGGCGAAAAACACACACAAACTTATCAATAATGTAGGCGAGTTGATACTATAGCTCATAATTTACTTCATCTATTGCTATCACATCTATTAACTTATTAACTATGCAACTATTAACTTATTATATTAGTATTAATATTGTTTACTCAAGTAGTAAATGTTGCTTGTTTAATTTTCACTTTACTTACTTAAACCTATGATATATTAGCTTAGCAAGTAAATACTTTGATAAATCGAAGTGCCACAAAAAGTTTCAAAAAGCAACTTTACAAACTGAAATACTTTAATAGATAGTATACGTCCGTCGATGGACAAATCCTATTTCACCAGAAGTTCTTTTTACCTTTAAACTTCTTGTTATGCTGGTTAGCGTAACAACGTACCTTGAATTTTGTCTGATTTATGTAGATAATGACATTTTCAAAAATATACATATATCTATTTATATATACTATAATTCAAGGTGATTTCATTTCATGTGAATTTGTACAACAAAATTCGAATTCCTTCTATTTTTCAAAAATTGTTCTTTATTTAACTAGTTTCGTAGCATCACCTGCTACTCTTCAATATAAAGACTATAAAAAACAGTAAACAACTAAACATCTTTCAAACAGGAATAAATTTCAAAATTTAAAAAATATACAGGTTTCGTTTCTTTAACTTATCATATTTTTAAATTTCTTAAAACCCTAGGTTACAAAAAAAAATGATTTTATAATTAACAATTTAAACTCAAAACCTAACAATAACGAGTCTTTAAATTAACATCAACATTAAAATATTTTTAACGTTTATTAGTAGTAACTACTTGATCTTCATCGAGATCTGAGAGGGTCAGGTGCTATTCACAGTAAACTAAAGGTACATCTGTAATAATCGCCAAAATCTTTGGACTCCTATTTATTAAACATTTCACATTCGAATGGTTTTTCATTTAAAATTTACAAGAGGGTTATAACGGTCAATAATATATTTTTCAAAGATTAGTTTTCTTTTCTATTAAAATTCTAAAAGTGAAAAACGTAAAAAAAGGCTCATTCAACCTATTAAAATAATTAGAATTACAGAAATAAAAATAAAGATTTCCGGATTTCTAACATGATACCTATGTA